CCCACTCCTGGGCATATACCCAGAGAAAAATAAAATTCAAAAAGACACATGCACCCCAATGTTCACAGCAGCACTATCTACAATAGCCAAGACATGGAAATAATCCAAACATTGATCAATAGATGACTGGATAAAGAAGATGTGGTACATATATACAATGGAACACTATTCAGCCATAAAAAGAGTAAAATAATGCCATTTGCAGCAACATAGGTGGACCTAGAAATTGTCATTCTAAGTGAAGTAAGCCAGAAAGTGAAAGAAAAATACCATATCACTCGTATGTGGAATCTTAAAAAAAAAAAAAAAAAAGGACACTATGAGCTCATCTACAAAACAGAGACAGAGTCACAGACATAGTAAACAATCTAATGGTTACCAGGGAAAAGGGGTTGGAAGGGATAAATTTGGGAGTTTGAGATTTACAAATGTTAGCCACTATATATATAGGTTTTTTTTTTTTAAGTTTCTTTTGTATAGCACAGGGAACTATGTTCAATATCTTGTAACAACCTTTAATGAAGAAAAATGACAACGAATACATGTGTGTGTGTGTGTATATATATATATATATATGTACACATACATGACTGGGACGTTGTGCTGTGCACCAGAAATTGACACATTGTAATTACTTCAATTAAAACAAAGAATTAAATGACAATCAGGATAACAATGACTGGCAATTATGTGATTATTTCAAATAATTTTACATAGTCACATTAGGAAATAACTGTTTAAATGAATGGAAGATCTGATCACTAAGCTCCCATTCTGATTCTTCAACCCGTTGCTTAATAAACTATAGACTATTCTTTTTCAGTCTGATGCAAATATCTGAAAACAAATAGTCTTTGCAAAGTGATTCACGGTTTCATTCAACATTCAACCACCAGAATAAGCTCCATGAGGGTAAGGATATTTGTCTGTTTTGTTCACTACTGTATCTTCCAACACCTAGAACAATGCCCAGCATTTTTGCTGAATTGAATAAATGAAAAGATTAATAAGCATTCACTAGATGCCAGGTATTATATTAATCTCAAAGGTAAATAAGATTGTCCCTGCCCTTAAAGAGTTAATCGTTTAAAAGCTCTAAGATAAAATCTCTTAATCTTCACTTACATCAAAGTACAGTTAAGTGGAGGTGGACAGATAAATTGGGAGTTTTGGATTTGCTAACTACTAAACATAAAATAGATAAGCAAGGTCCTACTGTATAGCACAGGGAGCTATATTCAATATCTTACAATAGTCTATAATGAAAAATAATATGAAAAGGAATATATATATATATATATAACTGAATCACTATGCTGTACACCAGAAATTAACACATTATAAACCAACTATACTTCAATTTTTTTAAAAAGGGGAAAAAGCATACAATTAAAGAAGTAAGGTTAAGAATCTAAAAGTAGTATCTGTCCTGGATAAAAGGAATTTATTGTAGACTTCATATACTTTTAAATAAAAGATAAATAAACTACCATTCTATCTTGAAAAATTAGTATTTGTATCATTAGGTACTATAATTAGATAATCTGTTCTATACTATAATTAATCTGTTCTAAACAATATTATGATAAGTCACAGGAAAATAGTAATTTCAGATACTTCTAAAAATTTTCAATCCTTCATTTCCTTCTCAGGTCCTTTCAAATACATTTAAAAAAAAATGAAGTGAGAATATCAGTTAATATGAAGCAACATAAAAGAATAAACAGAATCAGAAGGCAAATTCCAAAGAGATCACTGCTATAAATAGAGACATGGAAATGTCAGGACAGAGAAGCAAAGTTCCACTAGAAACAACAACAAAACTGCATGCCAAGTGAGTTTTACACCTCACACCCACCCATCTTCATTCAAGGATTTCCTCGGCAAAGATCCTCAATCTTCTAATAATCTATTCCAAAAAGTAAATGTGAGTAAAGGTACATGTCCTGATTATAAAAATCAGTATGTTTTTGGTTCTGCACAAATTTTTCTTTCCCTTATACCTAAGAAGCAGAAAACCTCAAACTGAACCTTAACCCAATCATTGCTGCCTCAAAGAGAAGTTATTTCATGAAATAAAGAGAACTGGGTTAGGAATCTAGTCTTGGCTCCAGTCTTGGAATTAATCTTGTCACTCTGTACACAGCACTCAAGCACTCTGGGTCACAATTTCCTCCAACATAAAATGAAAGAAATGGACTAGATGATCTTCAAAGTCTTTCCAAGCCTGTTACTCTTAAGAAAAGTTTGTGTGAAGCTACTCTTCAGGGCCATCTAGTCTCAAAGACCCCCAACATTCATAACCACATATCCAACAATTTGTTTTTAGCTCCAGCTTTGCAGGAAAATAATAAGTAAGATAAAACAAAAAATTCAGTTCAGTATTTATTGGTCTTTTACCAACAGAAAAGCACTAAGCCATACTGGGCAAACCAGAGTAAGATCCAATCCTTGATCAGCCCTCTGTTTTACAAAAGGGAAAGATGACAGGACGAGATCTCTGTATTTAGAATACTTACTACAGTCTAGCTGGAGAAACAAATATTAATTCAGATTAATTATGCAAATATTTATTAAATACTTCTTGAAAAAAGTCAGTTTTCAAACTTGAATGAGCATAAGAATCTATGATGCTAATTTTTTTAAATGTAGATTTCCCCAAAACTGATTCACTAGGTCCAGATGGGGTCTAGGTATCCACGTTTATAAAAAGCACCCCCAGATGATGCTGGTGGCCCTGGTAAAGAAACACTGCTGTAAAATAAAAAATTTAAAAAAAAGAAAAAAGAAAAGAGAAAGAAACACTCCTATAGCCTAGATCAACAAGAAATCAATAGGGTACAAAAACAAAATGTTTCTAGAGTTTGAGTTTTCAAGACTACATTCCTATAACAACTAGAGAATAAACTGCAAGGTTATTAAAAACAAGCAAAAGTCTAACAGAGCATATACCCTTTAGTTATATTTCATGGTTCTCAAGTGTGGGCTGCAGTTTCAAAATCACCATAGAAAGTTTTTACAGATACAGATACAGACCAATTAAACTAGTCTCTGGGAGTGGTAGTTGGGGCTCAGCCTTCACACTTAAAAGTGAAAGGAACTGATGTATAAATAAATGATCTAAGTAGGGGAGGAAAAAATAAACATGCCTTTGACCACAAAATAAAGGGAGACTAAGAATAGTAAATGTATGGAATTTATTTTAAATATTTTGTTTTGAGGCAACATGCAAAATGAGTGTTGGAGTTATTTAGCTGCAGACACAAGTTTGGGAATGTATTTGGAGAGTAAGCATAGGACCAACTTACAGTAAATCATAAAACCATACATTTCATATATATTCTGCAGTTTCATTATATATGATATTCTGCAGCATTATGTATCAGCTTTATTATAAGTTATTGGAATGCATGCTACAGAATTAGCTGAAATTACTCAAGAACTGGGTGGTAAAGGTCAGTCTGAGACAGCTGCTTTCAAGCGTCTCAGATTTTCAACCAAGAATTACCCCTAAAGTAATGGGAAGCTGCGAATGTTATGGCTTACCAGCAGGCAGCTCTCAACTTTTTTCACTAAATATTGATATTCAGTTTCCTGTGTACTCTATGATGCTGTATTCTATCTCCTATCATCCCAGTAAAAGGACAGATCCTGCTTATAGACAAGATGACAACAGATGTGTGCAACAAGCCAAACTATGTACATTCAAAGAGGTCTTTAATATGATTCAGTAGGATGTTCCTTCTCCCATTAGATGTGAAGAACCCTGTAAAGTTAGGAATGGCACTTCAGCAAGCCCCATCCTCCTCCCCCATATGCCTTCCGCCTTCTATGAAGAGGTCCTCAAGAGCAGAGAAAATTTATTACATTCTCACAAAGAACCTTTGTATCAAGCCTTTATTATTCTAAAAGATTAAACTATAAAGATTTTACTTCTTTCTCAGAAGAGTCTAATCTAAAAACTCTTGATACACTTCTTTTGGCAGATAGGTTATTTTGTAGAGGAATTCAACATGCACATAAACAGTACAAACATTATCATAGTGCTGTATGGTAATACTGGGGAAGAAATTAAAGTTAATTCTATCCTTGCTTTAAGAGGCTTACAATCTAGTGATGTGGACTACAAACACATAAACCCCCTGAACAATGTATTTGAAAAATAACATTGATCATCATCAAATATATAAGTATATATGTATATATATACACACACACCACAAAGCATTGTACAGTAAGGCAATATCCCATCCAATGCAATTAGCAATACAGAAAAACAAGCTTCTATGTTATACAACACATTGGTTCTTTAAATTTTGTAAGTAATCTAATTTTATTACCTTACATTAAGAGTCGCCTTCCCATGAAGAATTTTGACTTAAGTCATGATTAAAACTAATGCTAATAAAATCCATGTAAGATATACTAAACTGTGATCCATACCCTAGAAATTACAAGGAGATACATTTCATTACTTGACTTTTTATACATTCTTCCATTCTTTCAAGTCAGGCTGCCTGGGTTCAAATCTCAGCCCTAACATGCAACCTTGGGCAAGTTAACTTATCTGTACCCCAGCAAAATGGAGATTTTAATAGCACCTAGCTCATAAAGCCATTGGGAGAATAAATGAATTAAATACATGTAAAGCTCTTAGAACAGTGCCCAGAATAGAGTGTGCTATGTAATAAAGACACAAAAAGAAATAGCTCTTACTGTCATGAACCTTACGATCTAATGGGAATTCTAAATAAACAATAAATGATATTATGGTATTATTACCATGATAAGGTACATGAAAACAAATAGGAATCCCTAAATTTGAGAGTTCAGATAGCATTTCTCGAAAAATGGAAAATTTTCAACAGGCAACAGTAAAACAGAAGAGGCGAGGAAGATACGTGAAAAGGCCCAGGGATCCTACCATTACAAATAGGTTGGGATGACAAGAATGGCAAAAGGCTGGATTTAGGGCGAATCAATGGTCATGAGCGATTACCAGTATTTGTCAATCTTCTAATAGCCCTTCAATCAAGACACACTATTAAATCTGACATTCAAATCAGAGAATAAGTTTCTAATAACTGGGGGTGAGACACTATGGTAATTTCTGAAACAGAAAACAGAAAGTACTGTGTAAAAACATTAGACTTCTTATCCTTTACTGTTGACACTTTTCAAAATCAGATTAAACTGCCCTTTCTTTTTGATATGCTGGTAAGAGGAAGAAGTTGTGTGACTTACCAAAGGGCACATGGGTCAGACTTGAATCTAGATCCTCTAGGACCAAGTCCAGAGTCCTTTTTACTATACGAGGTGGCCTCCAGTTTCAGACACTGGTCAAACTGTTCTCCACAATGTTACCAAGTTACATTTGTGTTAACAACTTTGTCCTTTATAATGCAACTATTTTCTGCTTGCATTCACACCTTAGTCTGAAACAGAATCCCAGAAACTCAATCAGAAAGCATATAAAAGTAATTAAGACCAATGACTAACCTAATGATCAAATACCCTGAAACAACACCCTGGACCACTTACTTTAATTTGAACTGGTCCCTTTCCTCCTTATATCTAACCTGAATCTGTTGTGACTGTACACTGAGAAAACACAGGCCTGGTTTAAATGACACACGCAGTACAGCATGAAGTTATCAGATCCTTCTGACCAAGAGCTGTTAGGAGGTAGGTGATGGGTATAAAGGTGAGGCAAGAAGTATGTACAATTTTGCTACTCTAAAATGCCTATTCAAAAAGCCAAAATGGACTGTTTTTCCTCCAACAGCTATAAATAAGAATCTGTTAGTATTTCACACAGATTTAACAAACCCAATAGTGGAAAGTTATGCTGAGAAAGAATCATCAGTCATTTGGTAACCAATAAATCAGAGGGTAAAATGAAGAACCTTGCCAGTACATTTAATAGCCCAACTTTTATTATTTTCACTAATCTTTTCATTCTGTTATTTATAAATCTAAATGCCTCTGCTAGATTTTTATAAGCTTGAAAATACTTTTTTTTATTCTGAGGATGAAATATGAAATACTAATTTCCATGAAAAGAGAATGATTATGAAATATAATTCAGCTGAATATTTAGCCAATCTCCCAAAACATAATTAACCAGTTTTAGATTATTAGCTATGATACATCCACTTTTAAGAGGACTTATATTGCAAAGAGGAATGAACTGTCAGGAAAAGTCTTATTTCATCAGTTACAATGAACTTACCTAGAGTGAAAAGCGAAGTACAAGTGACTTTGAGTAGACTGAGTGGATTCAGAACTAATTCACACACAACCAAATCAAAAGTCACTGGTTACAGTTTCCCCACAATTCAGCTGCTGTTACAAGATCCTAGATTTTACCAAAAGTAAGATTTGAACATAGATGTTAAATCCAAAAAACTTACATAAGTGGAGTACCATGAATTATCCATCCATTCCTAATTATTAAATACCAAAAGCCAAATTCTATGGTTAATAATACTGATTTCCATTTGTATAGCACTTGCCAGTTTCTGAAGAGCTAATAGAGATACCTCATTCAAGGACAGCAAGGCAGGTTACGATCATTATGTAGATGAGAAATCTGAGACACAGAGACTAAGTCACTTGCCCAAGGTCACAAAACTAAATGCAGAGGTGGATTTTTTTCAATATTCATTCATTCAACAAGTATCTAGAATGCCATGACTATGTGTCAGGGACTAGTTAATGGTAGAGACAGACAAGGTCCTTGCTCTCCAGGAGTTTACAGTCTAATAGGAGAGAGACAATAAACAAGTCATCACACAGAACATAATTTCAGATAAATGCTATAAAGAGAACATGGTAATTGGATAGAGTGATTGCAGAATAGCATAACCAGAGGTCAGAGATGGTCTGAGATGACATCTGAACTGACACCTGAATGATGAAGACAAATCATCCATGTCAGGGTTTATAAGAACATCTGATCTGTAAGTGGAAAAAGCAAGCATGAAGTCCCAGAGGCAGGAATAATGCTGGACAGCAAGGTGGCTCAAGTGGAATGAGGAGAGTTTAGATAATAGCCTGATTATATGGCGCCCTTAGGCCATTCCAGGAGATAAGATTAAAACTGCAAAGGAAAGAAGAAATAGGTGAGATGATGTGATTTATGTTTTAATGAAATCTTTCAAGCTGCTATATGAAGGAACAACTGTAATACAATCAGGTAGAGGCACCCTTGAGCTTCAAAAATACTGGTCTATTCCTCAGAGAACATTCCTGTAGATACATGGGTGCTTGTTACTTCTGAACTGTTACATATATATTACATACTTTTCTATACAAAATTTCTTAATTTTTAAAAGTAAATTGTGAAGATGTAAGAGTAGAAGCAGAAAAACCACCTAGGATGCTACTGTAACAGTCCAAGATTGAAGTGACAGTAACTTGCAAGGAGTGGAGGTGAAAAGTGATGAAATTTGGAATGTACCTTTTAAGTATGGTAAACAGGTCTTCTTGATGGAAAAGCAGAGGCAGGAATCAAGGCTGACCAGTGGTTCTCACTGTGATCTTGCCTCTTAGGGGACATCTGCAGTATCTGGAGACATTTCTGGGTGTCACAATTGGTACTGGGAGGTGGGAGGGTTGTGATACTGGCATCTATGGGTAGAGGCCAAGGATGCTGCTAAACATACTACAATGTACACTAGTGCTACAAAACAAAGAATTATCTGGGCATAAAGTGTCAATAATAATGATGTTGAGAAATTCTGACCTAGACAGAATCCAAATGGTTCCACTGTCTGAGAATACCCACACTTCTAGGAGAATCTACCAAAACACTAGAAATAGAGGTCCTTACTTATTTTCAATACTTAGAGACAACTAAAATTGTGGCATACATGAAATAAAGTTTTATTTCTTTTGAGATAAATTATATCATTCTGTGGTTAACACTGTGTTGACCAGGACTCATTGGCATACAAGTCTAATTATTAAATTTGAAAAAAATCAATTACTAACAAATGCCTTTATTGGGTACTTTCTCAAAACACAATTGAAAAAATCCTATTTAGCAATACCACTCAACACTACTTTTAGTTTTACCAATCATGCTTAAATCTGTAGTCCAATACATTCACTGCTTTTCCAAATACAAATTCCTCTCAAATTTAAATAGATAGCTATGCACACTGAAAAGGTAATTAGACCTATAAATAGGTAAGATGGTAGGCAAAGCTCATTAGAGGAAAACGATGGTCCACTTGCATCTAGGTGCACAGAACTGTTTAGCTATCTGACTTTGGGCCTTGAGCAAGTGGACACATTAATTTTTGGTTATCAGGAAGACTGCAGCGCACATCTCTCCCAATTACTGAGACTAGCAATCGGAAAAGTACTCTTTGAGACTTAATTCACAAAACACAAAATACTCAAAGTTGATAGAGTTCATTTTACCTCATTCTTTGTTACCTAAAGGAAAAGAATTTGCGGGAAAAAATTAACTGTGATCAACTCCTAATGCATCCTAATGAGTCTGAAACTACTATCATTAATGCAGTAAATTATGTGCCACGATATGCTCTGGAAGGTCTGAAGAAACGTTGGAAACTACCTGATACTTGAAGCAAATAGAAAATTAAAACAGAAAAATCTGGTCCCGGGATAATAACACAGAACATTACGTTTGCATTCTCACAGGTTGCGGCTGGGGAAACTAATTTCTTAGAAGCCGCAAAGCCAATTTTAGTCAAGGAATGGATGCAGTTCTTAACGGTAAGGACCTCAGTAAAATTGGCCATGGACACATACGATGAATCTAGGTTACTAGGTCTGGTTAAAACTGATTTTGCAAGAACCACGCTTTTTAAAGGTAAAGAAAAGGGCAGTCATATTGCTGCAGCCTCATCCACATTATCTACACAGAAACTTCGAAATCAGCTCGAGAACTAAGGCCTCCAGCCTGAATTCGTCCCCACTTGTGATAAAAATGTAAAAATCTGACAATCTAAAAGTAAAATACAGGGACACTTTACTTCATCCCTATTCGTGATAAATGTTTTAAAAATCGGACAATCCAGAAATAAAATATAGGACACTTTACTACCCTGAAAATCACGCCGAGTTCCCGCTAGGCCGGGCGGACGGTTTCGGGAGCATCCCCGCGCGGCGACCCGGGCGCTTCTCCGGGGCGCACTCCCCGCTGCAGCGCTCCCGAGACACTGTTGCGCCGTCGTTACGCCCGTTGACGTCATTCCCTTCCTCAAGGATACAAAGAATGACCCTCGGCAGAAAACCTACCCCTGCTACCTCCATGAGGCTGCGACCGACAAGAAACAACTACTCCTTTTCTTCAGGCTTTCAAAAATTTGCGCAAACCGCGGTCGCCATGCCAGCCTTACCCACCACCCTAGTGGAACAACCGCACAACCGCAACCCAAGAACGCACAGAGAGGAGGCGCCAAAGTAACCCCCATTCACGCGAACGCTATAAACAATTCTCGCGACAGCTCGAGACTTTTTTTTTTCCCAGCCCCACCCCCCGAGACACCAACGCGTTGCTTCAAAACATCGCGAGATTTTCTTCTTCCAGTCTCCGCCCCTTTACGGCACGATGGTCGCACAAGAATGTGATACAGCCTCGACGGCCGCCATTTTCTTTCTTTCTTAGCAGTTGGCTGAGAGGTCTCTGCGAAGAAGCGGTAGTGGCCACTGTAGTGTAGGCATGGCAGACTATTCAACAGTGCCTCCACCGTCCTCTGGCTCAGCTGGTGGTGGAGGCGGTGGCGGCGGTGGTGGAGGAGTTAACGATGCTTTCAAAGATGCGCTGCAGAGAGCCCGGCAGGTAAGGCTGGAGCCCGCGGCGGGATCCCGACAGCTCACGGTAATTGGCCGCTGGCTGAGTAGGCCGCTACTTCTTCGCGCTTGAGGAAGAGGAAAAAAGTGCCCTTCCGGGCTCTGAAATGTGAGGAGACTCACGTTTCCCACGTTGGTAATACTGATTAGAGTCTGGAACTGGGTTTTGTGTTCTTGATGTCTAAACTGCTTTGAACCCCAACGCGTCTTACGCGAAGATGGCTTTAGGTTTTTCTCCCGCTTCTGCGGCACTCGCGCTTTTTCCTTCAAGGAGTTAGTATTTTCCTTTTCCTCAGAGTGAACATCCTCCTGCATGGGATAAACCGCGCGTAGTTTTACACAATAGCATGGAATGTTCTGGTAATGGGAGTTTGGGAAAGGGCTAGGGTCTGTCCTCAAGCCATAGTAAGGGAAGGGATCTGTCATTAAAGCAGTCTTTAGAGCTTCCAGCCCATTCGGGCTCTCTCTCAATTAACCTGTCGGTATAATTCACTTTCACACCTTCAAGGAAGAGAATTAAGAGAGAACTAATATCCCGAGTTGGAATCCCTTCTCAGGGCGGGATTTACGTGTGTTCTACCGTTCCTTCCCCCTTGTTTCTCAAAATGGCTTCAGGCCCATTATACCCGAAGTTTCAATTTGAATCTGCCTCTCTGTTCAGAGTCGTAAACTGACCAGACCTCTTTGTGTTACGTAGGTGTGTATATTTGCCCTGAAGCCACTTTTTTCCCAAACGAAAACTGTTTTAAAAAAAAAGTACGTTGTATTCCAGAATTTAATTTGAACTTTATTTAGATAATCCTTTGATTGTAACTGAAAAGTGTATGATGTTGGTTTGGGCTTGTGTTTAGCAAAAGAATCTTACTCTCCTATGACACGATGCATGTTAGGTGCTAGACATTTTTAGAGTATAGTGTTAAGTTAATGGTAATCAGAAACTAATTTTGTGGTATGTTTTGGTTACCTTAGGAGTTAACTTCCCAAAAAATCTGAAGTGGTGTAGAAATAATTTGTATTTTTATGGGAAGACATTATAAATTAAAATGTACCTGTACTTATTTATACTCAGAAATATTCCAAGGAGTCAGCAGAGTTATCTTTAATACTAATTTTTCGACTTCTTCACCGAATTTTTATTACTTCTGAACATGCTTAGAATGGCGACTGTATTTATGAGGACAAACTCCTACTAAATGGGTTTGGAAGAATCACCTGAATTATTTTATGCACCTAGCATATTGAATTAATTTGCTGCACACTGTACTTAGATATTGAGATCTAATTATGTTAATTGGATGTCTGCCTCCTAGAAATTTATGATATAGTCAAGGAACCAAATGCAAAAGAATAGTACCTGATTAATGCTTTCAAGCAGTAGACACAGTATGGGCACTGTTAATTCGTTTGTTCTTAAACGTTTCTAGTTCTTCTGTGAATCAGGCACTATACCTAACACCAGGGAGTGGGGTACCTAACTGCCAAAGTAAAGGACTGATGTTCTAAGCGAGGCATTAAAGAATGAGTGAAGGTTTGACCAGTGGAGAAAGAAGCAGCATGTGCAAAGGTATGGGGTTTAGAAGATGAAAAAAAACTAAGAGTGAAGTCATTGGAGGATAGAATTGGGTAGGGGAAGGAGGGTGGAAAATGAGGTGAGAAAAGATACAGATGGATACAACTTCTAGGCACAATTTTCTTACTAAGTTTGTCTGCTTTTTTAATATAGAAATTGTCAAACTGTGGAACGTCTTGCTTTCTGTTTATATGTCCATAGCTCAACATGCCCTTGCTGTAATATGATTTACAAATGTCTTTGCTGTAATTTGATTATTTCTACGAAATTGGTTCTAAATCTGAGATTCTCAAGGTTAGCATTTGAGTTGAATTTTCCGTTCTGGTTGCATTTGAGAATGCCTCCATATATCAGTTGTAGTTGCTTGTCTGTTTATGTAAGTGGAGTATAGGGAGAAGTGCTTGGACTGAAGGAACAAGTTAGGTTAAATATATGAACTGCTTTTTTTCCTTATCTATATCAAATGGATACTGAATTATATTTCCAAAATCCCTATCTAACCTTACATTTCTTTTCTTTGTCCAGAGTATTGTGCTATGCTCTTTGGAAGGAAGAGCTGTAAGGACAGCTTCTTGCCCTCAAGGAGCTGTGTGCCAGTGGGACAGCTATTGGCATTTTAGCTGGTCAGTTCTTTGTTATGCAGGAAAGCAGAACAAATAATTAGGATCCCTGGTCTCTATCTAGTAAATGCTAGTAGCATTTACTCTAGCTGATTGTTGCCATCTGGCACTTCAGGCTGAATTCTCCATTTTTTTCCCCAGAGAATTTTAGTAGTTTATTTTTTTTATGTGAAACTGCCAGATTTTTATATTATTTTGTGTGCTAAATCCAGCACACAGACATCAGATTGCTTCTCTAGTTTAGGGTTTCCAACCTGTATACTTCAGAAATTTACGTTTGTGTATTTTACGCTGTAACTGCAGAGAGTGAAGTTGAAATTCTTAGATCTTTAGTGATCCACTAATAACAAGTTTAGTCTCTGAAACATTGGGAAATTAAAGTGTATCTACTTTTTTTCCCCTTACAGTTATATGAAGATAGAAGTAAATTAGAGATTGAGACCAAGTAGAGTGCTAAATCACAGGATAAACAAGAATATCAACCTTCATCACTTCCCCTCTAAACGATTATTAGTCATTAAGTACTCAATTCTTGACATCTCTTCCCTGGTCATTGTGAAAGTAATTCAAACTGAATTATGTTGTTTGAATGCAATGAAAAATTTATAAAGTAGAATTACTGACTTTTTAACTTACCATTAATCTCTTCAGTAAAAACTAGCATTTGAGTGTTGTTGCTGTTTAATGTTTGGAGACAGGGTAGCAAAGCTTGATTTTAATAACCAAAGATTCCTGGGCTGTAGAGAGGGGACAGTGCTGTCAATTAAATGGTAGCCTAGTAATATTTCTAGCCTCTTCACATTTCTGGTGCATAGGAACTGAATCCATTAGGACTTTGCCCATAGTATTCAATAGTTATTAAATTGAATCAACAGGTAACTTTAATAAAGTAGTAATGTTTTGTTTTGAAAATAACTGTTCTTCAAAGTTTTTGGCCAGGACAAAAAAAAATCAGTTAAAAGTTTTTAAAATCAAATATTTTAAGCCTTATGGACCCTGCTTTATGATTGAATTATAGTTTGCTGATTTGTTCATAATAACTGGCAGTTTATATGCTACATATTAGGCTGTGTGCTAAGCATATCTTGTAGTATTAATTTACTTCTCACAACTTTCCTAAAAGGTAAGTATAGAAACTGTCGTCTTTTGTACATAAGAGATTGAGTGGGGCACAGATGCTTAAGAAGATTTGGCAAGGGCACAAAGCAGTAAAACCAGAATTACTGCCCACTCCAAATCACAGTCAGACCCCAAAGCCTAAGGAAGCATGTAGTGAATGCACTGAAAATTAGGAGTTAGTCATTTTTGGCATTTAGGTAATTTACTTCTGAAAATCAGCCTTTAATGTGTTGTTGTTGTTGTTTGTTGTTTTTGTAATTGTCCTTTTAATCTCCAGAATCAGTGGTATGACTGAATAATCTCTTAAATTTCCATTTAACTCCAGAATTCTTGGATTCTAGGAATAATCTATAATGAAGAAAGATGGAAAATGTTAAAATAATGAAAGCACAAAAAAATTTACTTGTTTAAGTATGGAGGGTCCAAATGGAAAGCTTGAATTTTTGTTGTAAATTAATTCTACTAGTCTCATAAGAATTTTATATAGTTAGAGGTTGATTTTAGGAATTGTTGTTCCTCTTAAATTAATCCTTTGTAGTGACCTAGAGAGTGTATATTTTCTACTGATTTTTGAAAACTGGTCAAATTTGTTAGTATTTTTACCAGAAGCTCTTTTCTGATATCTTTGTATTGGTTCTGAATTTTTGAGATGATGTTAACTGGTTCTTCTGAGTGAACTAAGGATCAACTATGATTTTCATTTGGATAGTTTTAGAACTATTCAGTGAATAGGAGAGTATAAATAAGTATCCTTTCTCTGTGCAGAAGTTCCTTGGAGTTGGAGGAGTGCTGCTCTACAAACTCGTAGTGTTTATAAAAGCTAACTGCAGAAGGTATTAACGGCCTAAACATTTTCCTTCATTAACAGTACTGTTTTCTCTGACCTGAAACACTTTCCTTATAACATCAGTGCCCAGCAGTGTATTTACGTTCCTGAGGAACAATTCAAGTGCTGAGTGCTTTAAAACTGAAGGGTAGAAAAACAGTTTCAGGTGTAATGAAGAAAACTTTCAGAGAAGAAATAAGATTTTAATTAGATCAAAGATATGAACAGGCTTTTAAGAAAGTGAAAGATGATTAAGGTAGGTTAGATTGACCAAAGCTCCAGAGAGTCAGGAAATACATAATTGTATACTTTTTTTATTAAGCATTTTTATACTTAATCCAAATATGCTTTGTGATAGGTGTTTGCATTTACAGAGGAGGAAAAGGGAAATCTAGGAACCCTAGGAAGTATAGTCAGTATGTGGGAACTGATATTTCCATATATATAGGAATTACATGATGCATATTGAATTCAAGTCATTGAATACTCTTATCCTTTCCAGTTTTCTAATTATAGTGAAGCTTG